CAGTAAACAGTACTTCAAAGAACTCCATAAAATTAAGTTTTTTCTCAAACATAGGACAAAATAAAGATGTTAAAATAAAGTGCACATTCCGTGAAATTCAGACTTAATTCAAATAAAATGAAGTTACTCACAAAATAATAAATAAATCAAACGAATTTACAATAACTGGGCTTTGCAGTCATCTCAACAACATAACATTTTACATGTAGAACATTTTCAAAATGCTATAATATTCCTTTGGTCTGAACAGGAAGTGCAGCAGCAGTGCATTGCACATGACTTAATGTATTTCTTTGTCTTGTTGGCACTAAGCCAGTGAGACGCTCGTTTCTTCTGGACTCAGGTTTTGTCACGACAGCCTTCTGGGATAACTTTAAAATAAAACCTATCATTCAGGATACGTTGTCTGCTGGTCATTTTTGCTCATTCAAAGCACGGGTCTGTTATGCTGCGGTCTCTCCCAAAACGTAGCGTTCCTGAAGCTACGGAAAGCGCCGAGGGTAAAACAAACAGTACTGCGGAAAAATAAAGAACAAAAGCGCACGGTGCGTTTGTTTTGATGCACGATTAACGTGCGTTTAAAAAAAATGTCGGCGTTATAGTCTAAAGCAGTTAACGTGTTAATAACGCTTTAAAACTGACAGCCCTAATTTGATTATTTGACTAATATTTGACTAAAGTAACACAAATGTCCTACTTTCTCTGATAAGTAATAAATGAATAAACTGATGTTGAATTAGTTTATTGTTAAAAAGTAATTAGTTTAGAGCAGAGCAGAACTTTTCTCTTAAACGACCATCCTTTAAATCCCGCCATGAGGCAGAAGCCTCTGTTCCTTCTAATTTCCTAAAACAGCCTTTAAACAGGATCCAGCTGTTTGTCTTGGAAACTTGAGGCACAAAATGTGCAGCAGGACGCGGCGCTAGAAGTCAGGTAGAAGACAGACGAGCCCCAGAGTGTCTGCTCCTGCTCCTCGCCTCCCGTCTCCAATCGATTTCTGGAGGTGCGTCTCTGGAAACCAGCGTGAGCGCGCCGAAAAGAGTCCCTGGCCGCAGCGTGGCGTCCTGTTAAGGGCTGACAGTCATCTTTCCTCCACACAGACACAATCAGCGCGTGACAGCAGGTGTTAGTCATAGCCTGAGGATGGCCAGCAGCCAGCCGGGCTCCTCAGCTCTCATCACCGGGCGTCCTTTAAACGCGCTGACATTCAGGAGGCCACACATCCACAGAACGCTGCCTATCGGAGCCACACACCTTCAGCCCTCTCTGTGACTGAACTCACGAGTCTCACTGCCTCTGAAGGAGGCTCCAAGTCAACAGCCTGGACGTTTTCTCAGCTCAGATGTTGACTTTAACGTCCGCTGGAAGGGGACTCTGAAAACGCCACTGTAGAGCAGGGAGAGTAATCTCCGTTTATGAAGATTTTAATTTTACAGAATCTAGATTTTTTCCACTAGTCGACTCCTTTGGGCTTCCACAGCTCAGACTGACGTCGGTTCATCACATTTTAGACTCAGATGTCTCTTAATTAACAAACAAGCTCTCTGTGTGATTCAATTACTGCAAACATTTAAGGACGGATCCTCAAAGACTCAAAATCCACGCACAACAAGTGAACGTGTTGCTGGTGATCTACAGAGATTGCTGCTGTTAGGACGTGCAAAGCCGCTTTGGTTCCATGAAGCTCGAAGCCATGGAGTTGGAGGTGATAAAGATTAAAATTATCTCAATGAAAGAAGGATGATACTAGGTAAGGCTTACAGAGCACTTCACATTGGGAGTCCAACTCAAAAGAAAAAAAAAAAATAATTTAAATAAAGTTAAATATGGGGGCCATGATGGTCTAGTGCACGGGTAACCAATTATAAATCAGCGGGGTCAGAATAAAGAAATCATCAACCAGTAAAGGTCCAGAGACGTTTTTAATTATAATCTGTTACTTTAAACAGAATTTAACACAGAAATAAAATAAGGTTTTTAATGCATCCATGTTATACATTGAGATTTTCAATTAAAAGAAAAACATTTTTAAAAAATGGAACTTTTTTTCCATTTTAAATCTAAAGCATTTTTGAAGTAGAGAACAACAATTATTCAGTTTGGTTTATAGAAAATTTCCTGAGTTCCATATTTTATAAAACACCTGAAAAGGCCTTTCTTTCTGTTTTCTGTCTTAATGTTGGCAGTGGGCTTTAGGCTGCCCTGCAAGGCTTTAAACCTGG